TTTTGTATTTTGATGTCTCTGCATTTCCACAGAAACATTGTACAAAAAAAAATTCAGGAATCTAACTGAAGAATGTAAATGATCTACTGTTTGTCCAAGAGCTGTTGATGATCCTTCTTTATGTGCTTCATATTTCACTACTAGTTGTTTTTTAAGTGCCCCTGGTATCATATTGAGCAAAGAAAAAAACCCTGCCCATGTCCTGCCCGTGCCCAACGTGTAGAAATAAGGAATGAAAATCATATCTGCCCAAAAAGAGGAAAATACAGACAGAATTCATTGCATACCTGTGAGCAAAGGAAAATGACTAAAACACTGTATGAAGTGGTTAAGGTGGACTCATTTTTTCTCCTAAGCTCTGAGACTTTAGCTGAGAGTATACCTCTTTGCTGATATTCAATTTATCACTTTGAAAATAAACAGTAGGGACTGAGGAAACCAGTTTCTAGAAAAACAAACTCTGACAGAAAGAAGCCCAAAGGTGGGCGTGGTTGGATGGGTGGGCATTTAGAGTCAACAAAAAAGGTGCTGACATGGTTATGGTTGAGTAGAGGAGCCACGTGGTGACATTTTCAGCAACATTGACCCAAAGAAATGTTTATTTAAAAAGAAAAAAACTAAAGGCATGCAGTGGTTTTGCGAATGGGTGGGTGTATCTGTGTATGTGGTGGGGGTGGGGGGTTGTGAGGGACTTTTTGGGAGGGGTTAAAAAGATATATGATGTGGTATTGGAGTGTGTCCAAGTCATGCGCCCTATGTTTCACATGGCCACCCAGCTGTGTCAACATTCAATAGCTGTTCACTGGCAGAAGAGCCCCACCAATCACAGAAAGAGAGACGCAGCATCAGGCAAGTGGTGCCCTGACTCAGCTTTGGTTTGCATTAAAAGGAAGAAAAAGGAGTGATTCAATGAAGGAGAATCAGACAGGTCAGAAGTTAAACAAATCCTCTCTACTCCCTCTATGTAACAAACTCCTTTTTCTGCAGTGTTCTGATTTAAGTCTGCCTTTATGTCCTGAAATGTTGCCAACTTTAAATATAGAGAATGGTATTATATTTACAGTTTGCATGTGCTTTATGATGCACCTTATTTCAAAAGATCATGAATTAGGTAAGCATTACAATGACATGACAAGTTACATTGTAGATACTGTAAAAGGCATAGGAAAAAAAAAAACTTGAGGAGGAACCAAAGAGGAGCATCTTGAGGGGGATTTACGGTGGAGGTGGTCGACGCATTTTGGCCGTACTCTGACAGCGAACTGAGCTCAGAGCCAAAGGAAGAGTGCAGGGAGATAGATTTACATTGTGAGAACAACTCTGGCTCTGTTGCAGCAGTTCATCGGACGCACACCACTCTCTGGTGATCTCTATATTCAAAATCTACAGTTTCTTCTGGGCAAAACCTCTGCACTTTATGTAACAAGCCTTTGACTTTTCTTTTTTCTGGTTTAGCAATGTGATATGACTCTGATCCCCTAAATACCATGAATTATCTTCTTTTTTTGTTGGCTGAATGCACATGTTGTAAAGGATGTTTTTTTTTTTATTCTCACAACGAGCCATATGAAAAGTGTGGTAGCTAATTGTAATCACTCAGGTTTCTTCCTATATTCTATTTGGTGCTAAATACAAAGCATATTTCACTGTACATCACTTTGAATATGCCACCCCCACTGGGAAACATGGTGATGGCAGTATCATGGTGTGGAGCTGCTTTGTCCACAGAAAGAACAGAGAAACTGGTCAATGTGATGCATTGACCAGATGAAGCTAAACACATTACCATTCTTCATAAAAAAAATCTGTTAGAGGCTGAAAAAGAGTTTAAACTGGAGCAAAGGATCACCTTCCCTCAGGATCCTGATTATACAGCTAAATTCATAAGTCAAAACCTAAAATCCACTTAATCATCTGTGGCAAGAAGTTAAAATCAGGGTTAAAAACCATTACTTCAAATCTCACCGAGCTCATGCCTGTTAAAAAAAAGCGAAAGAAATTGCACAGTTTTAGTGCAAAGCTGGTCAAGCCCAACCCAAAAGACTGTTATGGAAGTTAGTGCCCGCTGAAGGCGTTTTTTTCCACGGAGATTCCCTTCCAGTTCTCTTCTCTTCTTTGAGCAATCTGCTTAGTCCAACCACTTATAGCTTGAGGCCTAAATACTACTTAAAAAGAACTAATACCAGGAATAAAAGTTTAACAGAATTTATTCCAGATCAGATCAGAGAAATTGCGGCGAGTCGGCACAGCTGTGGGCTAAAATCGTCAGCGGGCGATGGCATCCAAAAACTGAGCCCCGAACAAGGTAATCTCCTGCTTCTTATATCTCATGAGTCTATGTGTTTCATCAGGTAGATGCTTAGCTGTGCTTGTCAGGAACCAAAACGCCATCAAAACCCTGACCTCTTTCCCTGCTGCATCTACTCCTCAGGAGTGCAGACATGCCCTTTTAATCCACAATGTTTGGACTTAGCTGAAATTTGTGTGAGAGTTTAAAATAAAAGATCCATAGCATTTATAGTTGGTGAATAGCTTTTTTCATGTGTTGTTAAACTTTATGAAATGTACAAAGTTATATTCTAATTTACCTGTTTTGTCAGCATATTTAAAAGGTCTCCTTATCTTATGCTGAGAAATTAAGATAGTTCCCCGAATTAAGCATTCAGACTCCTTGATAGCACTCTTTATTATAATGAACTTCTACATGACATACATTTATAGTCTTCCCCCAATACTGTCACAAGTCAAATATAATTAATTTTAATCATTGCAGTCAGTAATAAGGGAGCAAGGCAGGAAATGAACCATTATGAGTGTCTGTGTTTAGGAATGTCCTGACTAAAACTGGGATAAACCCCTGTAGGTAGGTGTGTGCATGTGCTTCTGTTAGTGTGTGTGTCCCTGTGACTCTGTTTGCATGCCTCTTTGGGGTTTTACTCCCTATTTAAGACCAATATTTGCTAAGCAGCCCCAGGGTGAGATTACCTCATATTCTTCAACCCAGCTGTGCTTTCACAGCGTCTCCCTAACAACCGACGGAATGTCCCGTCATGAGTATCTGGCTGCCAGGAAAATATACAAAATGAAAGTGAGACACAGATAAAGTTAGAGCGACATGGAGAAGATACTTAAAATTCAACAGAAACATACATTTGGAAAAAGATGAAGAGTTTTTTTTTTTTTTTTTTTTTTTTTTTTTAAGGTATATGTGGATAGCGACCTGAAGAAATTGGAACTGTCCTAAAAGTGCATCACATATAAATGCAAAGTATTTTCTTAGGTTAGCTGTAAATTGAAATGCATTCTGATGAAAATATGTTACTTAATATCAAAACTGGTTCAAAAAGGTGGAAACTAGTACATTTTTCCAGCAGTCTGGTTTGTTATTAAATGATTGAAGGAAGTGAATTTACAATCGGCAACTCAATAACAAAAAAAAACACATATAAAATCATCATATTTAGAGCATTCATCATGGTTTCTTTAGCCTATATAATATTTAGCATGTTTAACAAGCGATGCATGGTAGAGCACCAAATAGGAGGCATTGATTGGAACAAACATGTTTTTTCTGTAAACAGTCTACACAAAATGTGATGTTATGATTGTTAGACAAAAATGTGCTTTTGTCGTGACAAAAAGCTAATTAAGAATAGGAATTGTTTAGCAAATATTTAACTTTTTTTTAGCATCATTTAATTAAAATGCTTGAGTCTTTACTGTGTGTGCTTTTATATCTGACGATATTTGAATAATGGAATCAAAGGTTGTTAGTATTTATAGCACCTTGCACAGTTTTTGGGGACTGCAAACGTTCTGAGGCATGGCTTCCACTTAGCGTGAAAGGAAAAAAGATGCAACTTAGAGACCCATGGCATCACTGAAGGAGCTGCCAATCTAAGATAAGCAAATCTGTTGGCAAATCAGTGGCAAAATCGAATTTGCACTTTGCAGTTAGCCTTGTATAGTTCTTTTAAATCAAAGCTCATTTGTTTAGAATTGCCTTTGACTGTTAAACTGTTAACTAAGATATCATTAGTTTAAGTTTGTGCTCCAAATACTGTGTTTGCTCTACCTGCTTTTATTATGTTTTTATCTTTCATTTCTTATTGTACTTTTATTTTATTGTTTAATTAATGTCAAGAATTTTGAATTGTCTCTTGCTTTGTACTGAACTGTGATATACAAATAAACTTGGTCACTCTGGTCAAACAAAACCAAAATCAAAATTGTATTTTTTTTTGTTTTTTATGTGTGAAAACCACATACATATATCAATCTGAAAATTCCCTTGCTGTGGCAGCATGATGCTGTATGGAAGTTTCCCTTTTTCTGAATACAGAAGCAGGTGATGGGGCAATGGTTAAAGACTAGAAACAATAAATCTCTCAATCAAAAATAGCTGAAGGTTAAACAGGTTAAACTATAAAGTTTAAAGAATCAGCCATTACATGTTATGGCACAAACAGCTGAAGATTAATTGGCAAATTTAAAATGTATAAATCGTTAGCTTTTTGTGTTGTTTTTTTCCTGGAATCGCCTAATTCTTGATTAGGAGGTACTCATTTAAAAGAAAAATTATAAGAATTATTATATATGAAAAAAATGTTAGTATTGATAATTAATAAAGTTGAAAAGACCCTCAAGCGAACAACTGATGAAAAGCAACTTAAAACTCCCCCAAATTTATTTTTCTATGTGAAAAACAAAGAAAAAGAGAGACTTTTTTCTCGCTATAGAGATTTTCTCAGCAGATTCTGCAGTGTGGACTCTTTCTACCATGGGAACGGACAGCTATTTGCTTTGATTTGCAACAGAAAAGCTTTTGACTGTCAGAGAAAGTTCTGTTTGGTCTCCTCCTGCTCAGTTTAAGTGTTAAAAGTGTCATTATTTAGCAACCAAGGCCGAGAGAAGAGTGCAAATAAGACTGTGTGACCTTCTGTCAAGAGCCTCCGTTCTTCAGAAGCTCATTAAGGGCCTCTGGGGGACAAGGCATCAATTGGCAGAATCCTCCAGCTTCCTCTCAACCCTTCTTAAAGCTGGACTAACAGGAGGAATAGATGCAATTTAAAAGCAGAGGTGCTATGAAAGATGTGGCGCTGTGAAGAGGTGTGGGTGACTTATTAAAACCGCAGGAAAAGGCCATTGGACTGCAGCCAAATAGGATCTAACCCTGTAGAGAGCTGAAGGGATATGGAGAAGGTTGGATGCACTTGTGTTTGGTGACCCATTTAAAGACTTGACTGGAGTCTGATTTCCCCCTGAAAGGGAGACAAACTAAATAGACTTCCCTGCGCATTGACAGCTGTAGACTGGCCATGGACGTTCACGAATCCATGTTGATAAATTTTGTTAATGATATGAACCTGATCGGGTTCTCTCAGAAATTAGGACCAGAGGAGGAGCAGGTGTTCATCGCTCCCTGCTGCACAAACAACCAGACGCGGATCAGCGGCTCTTCTTGGAGCAGAGCCCCGCAGGACAGAGTGTGTCTCGACCATCCGATGAGCGGATCATCCAGGTGCTGCAGCAGCAGGTCCAAACGGAGGAGGATCATCACCGGCGTCCAGCGCCAGGCGGCCAACGTGCGGGAGAGAAAGAGGATGTTCAGCCTGAATGAAGCGTTTGATGAGCTGAGGAGAAAGGTTCCGACCTTTGCGTACGAGAAGAGACTGTCCCGGATCGAAACCCTGCGCCTGGCTATCGTCTACATCTCATTCATGATGGACCTGCTGGAGAACACCTGAGACAGTTATGTGACAGCTGCTTTTTTTTTATTTTTTTTAGACACATGAAAGAGCTGCTTTAGGTTTCCGAAATTTCACAGATTTAAAAAATAAACGTCCGCAGAGGTCGAAAAGTTTCGTTTTATTTGGACATAGTTCTATGTTTATAACTAGTGTTTTTCTTATCGTTGCTTTAATCAGTATTAGTGGTTTTATTAAACTGTTGCACATAGACTTTATTTTGGGCTCCGGTTCTAAATCTTGATAGCACCTTCAATTAATGTTTAATCTATTCAAGCCGGATTGTGTTGACTCATTGTCATTTATACTGAGTCAACATTTAATGGGTGACTAAAAGCCAAGAAATTATTTGATTTGAATAACAGAATTAGCAGCTGCATTATCGTATTCACTTTTCATTGTTCATAGAACAAAAACGGCACAGAAAATGCTAAAAAGTGGCAGAAATAAATGATTTAGCCGCATTAGATAATGATTATCAATTTAAAACAAAAAATATATACATTTTTCAATTCGTTAAAATGATAAATAGATTGACATTTTGAAACCATATCATATTCTTTATGATTTTTTGACTGTTTTGAACAAAATAACCGCAACCCCACACTACAAACAAAGCTTTAACACCTGTATTGATGGAGAAAAACGTATTCACTTATGGGGGCCCTCTGCTGGCGGTTTACCATTGGAAGAAAGGCAGTTCACCTTGATGTTACCATCACAGAGGCACAACAATACAGAGACACAGATTAAACTCTCAGCCTACAGTAAATCAACCTACGCTCGTGCTTTTTTTCCCTCTTTTAAAGAAAGATCTCACATCACGAAAAATTTGCATCCTCCATATTATACTCTTTATTTGTTCTCGCAGAGAAAATAAACTAATTGCTCGCGTTCTTCTTATACGACAACGTCATTTAACCAAATATTTGTTTTATCAACTCAGTGGTTTGAGTGGATTTAAAAGGTGAAAAGAAATTACTTTCCCTCAAACTGTGAGAAGCAGCACTAAGTATTTGTTCTTGAAAACTTTTGATCTGCGTCCATCCTTCAGTAAGGATTGACGCCTAACGTCATAGAGTGTTTCAGCACCCTGGAGAGTTACACAGCAAAGCGTCTCACCTGGCCTGTGTAGAGCAGGTGAGCCATAGAGGGAGTTTCCTTTATAATGTGCTCATTTGACTTTCTACCTGGATAGATAACCTTTTATATATATATATATATGGCGAGTACATTTAATTATTCAGGAGTGGTAGAGCTGTGGTGTCATCTAATTATAGGCCTTAATTTGTCATTCAATTTACAACTCACAGTCAAGGGTGATGGCTCAGCGTCAGGCATCTTTGCCTATCAAAACTTTTCATTATTTGCTGACCAGGCCAACACGGACAAAATGGGGTGTGGTAGGCCTATTTACACAACTGAATATTCCCTCGTCTTTGCTTTTACCCACAAATAATGAATGCTATGCTATTAATAGAGCTTGGAGCTTAGTATGTGCACGATTGCTCATATCTTTCCTCTATTCAACCTTCACTACATCTCAGTCTTATACATGCGCCCTGCTGTGCGCACCGCCCCGCCCCTAAGAGCACCCTTGGATGGGACGGATCTTCCTTTAAACCTGAGCTGCTGAACCGCGATCCCCTGTGGGGAAGTCGGGCCTATTTCAGTGCATACCTCAACGAGGGGCAGCTGACGGGAAAATAAACACGTCGCTCTGCTTATAGGAGCAAAAACCTCCTGCTGGGACATCCTCTTGTGCTTCAGTGGTCTGATGTTTTTTAACCACCGGTGTTCCCTTCTGAGGCTTCTAAATCTTGCAGCACACAGCAGTCTTTTAGGAGAATCTTGGAGCTGTTTTTTGTTTATTTTGAAGGTGATTGAAGAAAAGTGAGCTCAAGCTCTAAAGACTGAGACAATAGAAGCTCTGATAAAAAGCCTCATCATAAAAGAAATGAAAAATAAACACACTGAATTAACTTTATGTCTGCTAGAGTGTTAAATACATATTTCAAAAATAGATTTGTTAACCATTCAAAACCAAGATTAAATCATATGTAAATTAATTTATTGATTCAGCATTTCCTTCACAATAATAATTATAATTATTTCCTTTGGTATGCTATTTATTCAATAGGCCAAGATATTGTGACAAAGATCTTACATTAACTTGTAAGAACTTACATTACAAAAACTTTTACATTTAAATTCTTCATTAATATTTTATTCAAACTTTCTTCATTCAAAATAACCAATAACAGTGGTGTTATAAAAGGGTGTTGCTGGTGGATGAAAACAAATTCAGAATATGCCTCAAAGTTTAATCTGAATCTATCCATCTATTCATCTATATGTTTTTAAGGATATTAGTACTATATTTCCTAATTTAATTGTATATTTATTAAACATTTAAATATATAGAAAATGATAAACAGAGTGAAAGTCAGATGGCATATGGCTCAATTACAAACAAAGTTAAATATTCTGAGAGTTTATTTCCGATTAACCCAGCTGATCTTAGTTTACAGTTAAATAAAACACAAAGTTCAGTTTATTAAATAATCCAATACTGCACAAGACCAAAAAAAAAAAACACAAATGAAGGGATGTTATAATAATGGGAAGTGACATTCATTTCACTAACTGTCTGTTAATAGTTGTCTAGTCACTATCATGCAAAAAGAGGATAAGCCAAAAAAAAGTTACTAAATGAAAGCTATCTGTTCAGAGTCCTGTTTTCTGGTTAAATTAGTTCATCAGGTTTGTGAAAATAAAAGTGTCCCCAAGCAACAAGATTTAATAATGCAACAGTTCTTGCATTTTATTAATCTTATTTAATTACTGTTACACGTTTATTTCATGTTAGCAGGGTAGCACATTAAAACAATTGTGTTACAGTAACAAAATATTACTAAGAAACTCCCACAAGCAGTTGCATTACTTTTTTCAGGAATTAGAATACAGTTGGAGTCAGACCTCTAACAGCCACCTATATATCCAGGACATTAGCTTCAAAGGGTTTAACTCATATTACATGTCTTGTAAACCAGATAAATAATCAGAAGCACCTTAAAGGCAAAAGGAATAAATGAGTGTTTTGAACAAGATAATTTTTTATTTAATTTTAAACTTTTAGATCACTAAATATGAAGAGGTAAAAGGAATGCAATTTGGTTGATTACTTCATGTTTCCCTGTTGACACGCTTCATGTAGCTGAAGAGTTATTTTCCAGCAGAACTGTGCATATATCCACAATGCCAAAAATATACCTGCTGGTTGCATTGTGATAAACTTCATACTGTCCACTCTAAAAACAAATGAAGTATATTGAGTATTGAAAAAAAAAAAAAAAAGAGGAGGAGAGACAGACCCAACCATGCAAAAAAGCTTCCTCATCACAGACTGATGACCTTTATTTATGAAATAAACTAGGGGTCTGTTGATTGGCTTCTATCAAATCCAATCCAATTTATTTGATCAGTTTTTGATTAAAAACCATCCGGCTCTGAAGGAAGAAAAAAGAAAAAAATATCTCTACACAGCTCATGTTTGCTCAAGATGCAGGACTTAAAAAACGCTGCCCCGCCACATCCTCCCACTTCTTTGTGGAGAAGCTTGCATGTTTTAAGGAGTTTTTCCTAAGTTTCCGTCTCCTGCAGTATTATATTACAGCCCTCCTCTCCCAATCACAGAGTCCTCCCCAAAATCCTCTTGGCCTCTCCAGTATAAGAGCCTGGGGTCGCCCCAGCCTGGCAGATACCGCTCCCTCTTTTGTGGCGCACCAGATTTCTTATCAAGATCTAAAATCAGTGCGGGATATACGCCTAAATATAGCTGGGTTTGTTTGTTGATATTTGTGACACTTACGGAGAAGTTGGGTCAGGGGTTAAAAGCTTTACAATAGGCCAAAGTAAGCACCTCTGTGAAGACGATGCGGGAAGACGACTCCTCCCCGATGGACAGCGCCGGGAACAGCGAGGAGGAGAGCGACCGTCAGCTGCCACGGAGAGGGGCGAGGAAGCGGCGCGCAGCGCGCAGGAGCACAGACGAGGAGGAGGAGGAGGGAGGCGTGGAGAGTCCCATCCGGAGCAAGAAAAAGTGCAGGAAGATCTGTGAGGGCGGAGGGAGCGGAGGGAGCGGAGGGAGCGAGGCCAGTAGCAACAGTCCCGCGCGCTCCTTCGACGACCTGCAGACTCAGCGCGTGATGGCCAACATCCGCGAGCGGCAACGGACGCAGTCCTTGAACGAAGCGTTCACGTCGTTACGCAAAATCATCCCCACCCTCCCGTCCGACAAGCTCAGCAAGATTCAGACGCTGAAGCTGGCGGCCCGCTACATCGACTTTCTGTGCCAGGTTCTGCAGAGCGACGAGCTGGACGCTCGAGGGACCAGTTGCAGCTACGTGGCGCACGAGCGCCTCAGCTACGCGTTCTCAGTTTGGAGGATGGGAGGTGCGTGGTCCTTGTCCACCACTTCCCACTAACCGGACCTGGGATGTCTGTGATGAGACATCAGGGTAAGCTGGGACTCAGTAATCTGCATCACCCCAATACTAATATTTAATACATTACATTTGTAATTAAGTGTGTAATGTCAACACACAGTGATGAAACCTTATTTGGACAAAACATATTCAATATCATCTACATAACAACAACAACAAAAAAATCTAAGCAAATAAAGCTTACCTCTTTGGGCATTGGCAATATAATATATAATTACCCAAGTTTCACAGAACATCTATTTAGTCAAACATGACACCATATCATCTGCAGAATATGCTATTTTAATGGAATCAAATATGTTTTGCCTGGTTATTAGATTAGATGCATGCATTATTTAAAGATTTTGATAGTTTAATAGTTGCATAAACCCTTTGTATTTTATTATTGCAAAACATTGACGGCATGGGATGGACTATCAGTGCAAGAAAAGTCATATTTACTTTCAAAACAGAATTTAGGCATACAAGTCTTAAAGGATTGTATGGTATATATTTACAGGACTTTTTTATTGGTCAAAAAGATCAAATATGGTTTTAAGCATTTCATTTAAATTCATGCTAATGTAGTCATACATCACTCACCAAGTTTTATGCATCAAAGATAGACTATTAATAAACTTTCCTTGGCAAAAAAATCCCAAGATGTTATCCATGTAACTTGCACAATCGATGTTTGGTTACAGAGATTTGTTTTCTTATGCAAAACGTATATTTCTTTCACAGACTGAGGAACCAGTGAATCAGGCCAAAGACAGCCGTGACCCCGGATCAGTTGCTTCGCTTCAGGCCTCTGAGGGAAGCAGTCCGTTCACATTTCCCTTTGCATGGATTGTAATGTTTGCAATGGGACCACTTAGGACAGCCTGGGCGGATATGAAGAAAGAGAGAGACCACTGCGACTATGAATGTTGTAA